AGAAAAGAGGCGAGCAATAAAGTCCACGTGAAGTGTTTGCTTCTTGTCATGAGTTCAAATCCGTAGATATTGGCAGGTGGTCCGATTGGCTTAGTGTAAGTGAACAGTTAAGTCAACTTACGTTGAGGTGGGTGGGGATGGGCGATTTTTTTTTTTTAGGGGGGAGGGGGTATGTTACTGAAAAGATAATATATGTCAGGACTTACATTAGGGTTAGCGAGATAATGTCAGAACTGACAGATAAGGCACGAAGCTACGACCCAGCTCTCACTAGCTGTTTTGAACTCGAGTATATTTTGGAATATGTACGTTATTATCTGGGGGATTGTAAAGCAGGGGCGCGTGTGCGTACACATGAACACGTTCATACATGCACGCACGCACACACGCACGCACGCACGCACACACACAGGCATACATGCATACATGCACACAGGCATACACTGTGGCACCAACATTCATAGATACAGACAAACGCATACACACACACACACACACTCACACGCACACACACAAACGCACACACACATATACATATACACAAACGCACACACGCATGCACACATACACAAACACTTTCGCGCGTGGACACACACACACATTCGCACACAGAAATGCACACCACTCTCACACGCACACGCTACACACATAGACACACACACGCCCATAATGAACGCATATATACAGACATCCGGCATGGAGCCGCACATAAACATTAGACCGATAAATACACAAGGCTATACACATGCACCCCCACATAATTACTATATTCGCATTCACCCACTTATATACATGTATACACTCACCCCCACCCCCGGCACACACTCATTTGCAAAGACGCAAATACACATTCAGACACAAGATAAAAATGGGAAGAAAGGTCGGTGTAGAATACTAGATTCTCCACGCTATACGCAACCTAATTCTTTGTCTATTTATTATTTTCGTTTAACATCTTGGCCCACAGCGCTCACTAATCCTTGTACCTAACGGAGAAACCTGCTCTAGTATGCACGTACATGCGAATTCAAGACAGGAATGTTGTAATACGGGTGCCCATTGCGGATGGGGGTTCGGGTCGGGTCGGGTCGGGAGCGATCACCCCACTCGCCGCCTGAAAACAAACGCGTTTGTTTTTGAGGCGACGAGTCGGGCGCCATCGTCTTGTGCCACGATAGCCGCTTTGCACCCTCGCTCTGGCTAGCAAACCGCCTCGACCAGACCCGATCCCCGAATGGGCACCCCGTATTTATATAAAGGTTTTAGGGTACCACATTTTGATATAATCGAAAATCGGCGTCTGTGACACATAGCGTCGCACGCAGACACCCCGAGTCTGATTCTCATATGGGGAAGATTTTTATTGAGTATCTCGGTCTTTCTGTTGAAACGTTGTCTCCCTCCCTGCTCAGGTTCGCCATGACAGGCAAAGTCAAAGTTCGCCTTCTAACTGAAGATTAAATTACTTTCAAATCTTTCTTATGGCCATATTCTGAGACGACATATTATGTTTCGGAGGTGGAATTGTTCCAGAATGGCTTGATGATTGTTAAGTGGTTTGATCAGGCTGTTTACTACGATTATTTTTGTGCACACAGACATTCGAAGCAACCCGCCTTCAAGATGATCTAAAATTGTGATGAGAGGGACGTAAAACATTTGTGAAGTGTGCTGACAAAATGAGTTGCTTCTCGGATTTGAGCCCTGTGGAAATAGATACATTACGCTTATGGGTTAAGCTTTTACAATTAATAAGTATGCAATAATGCATGTTATAGCCTACTTAAAGAATATTGCATCAATAGAAAATCTATTAATCTTACCCTAGGGTTGATTTTTTGCCAATATCTCCATTTGTGGATTGCAAAAGTAACTAATTTTATCAGCATGCCTCACATTTACATTTGCAAGTAAAAATCAACAAAAACAAATTCGAGCCTCTGTTTCTTTCTTCAGATGATCCCCTAACCCGCCACCATTCTGCCACTGCACGTGACTTGCTTACCAGTACGCCTACCTAAGAACACCTGCGACTCGTCGCTAGCTAAGAAGTACCTGTGACTTACTCCCAAGAGAACATTTCTTTGGATTCAAGGAAACACTTCCCCCTCCCCCAGTCCTCCAGGTGGTGTGATTGCCAGGGAACATCTTTGAACCCACTACATCGCATTTGCTTCCGGGTAACATCCTCTTTTTTGCCTTTATTGATCTATTCATTTGTAAACATTGTCACTTTTTTTCTCTCTGGCGTCGCTAGCTTAGTGGTTAGGCTACCGGACTCGGAATCGTGAGGTTGCAGGTTCGTGGGTTCGAGCCTCAGCTCAGACCAACGTGTTCTTGGGAAAGGCGTTTCGGAGGTGGACGTAAAAGTCGGAGGTTCCACCTGTTAAATAACTGAACAGTGTTGTTGATAGGGGCGTTAAACCCATACACTTTCTCCATTTTTACTTTTTTCTTGTTGATCTTTTGATCTTAACGTACCTTGTTTTTATTTATTTTTAACGGTGCCTCTTTCTATCCATACTTGTCAGTGCGCTGAAACATCCAGGATATCTGTTTATCTTTAATTGTTTATCAGTTCATTTATTCATGTAAGTGTATTTTTTCCCGTTTCATAATTTATCCATTGACTGTTTACAGGACGATATTTTGAGAACCCTGTTTAACATAAAAGTCTAAGAGTCAGTGAGACCCGCAGGTTTTCCTCATAACATGCACCTTTTGTCAAGGTGTTGTCTTGGTTTAAAAAAAAAAAACTTTTGCCACTTAAGGGTTGCCATAGAACTGTTCACGTTCTGAAAAACTAAAAATAAAGATTGGGAAGATAAGTTGTAGGCCTACTTTAAAAAAATAAATAAATACTTGAAACTTTTTTGAGGAGTACTTAAAAGCTCACCAAGACTATACCTCTGGTGCCCCACCCCTTCCCGGTGGATAATTTGACTTTAAGTCACTTAATTAAATGTCATAACGTATCAGCCATCTACGTGGATATCTGGAGATCTCATCTCTGGCTAAGACTACTAAGAGGTTCTTTCTTACAGGCGCTAACTTCTGTTGTACACTCTGTCCTACTTATAGGCCAGTCCATGCCTTGATGTTAGTTTTCTATGTCCACCCTTAGCATTTTTGCGCCCCCCCCGTCAGCCCCCCTGTTCTCCTTCCACCCCTCAAGCATTCCTTTCTCAATAGTCTGGTATAGTTTTGTAAGACCAAAGTACTGCATTCTCCTACTTTTCATTTGGCTAATGCAGGGTTTGTCTTCATCTTGTGTGGAGAATCTATCAAAACATCTGATTCCATCAACTCCACACAGAAGTGTGATCGGTCCTTTCGGAGATGGACATTAAACTCGGAGGTCCCGCTTCTTAAATAACATAATAGTGTTAACCATCATCATCCGGAGCCTTGTCGACAATCGTGAGCGATCATGATCTTGATGTTCCTAGCCGTGTTGTCAACTTGTCCAGTATCTTTTCCCTCTGTCTGCCTCTGCCTCTCTTTCCATCAAACTTGCCTGTTGTTACAGCATGAGGCGTTAAGCCCATACCATTTCACAGAAACGTGTTACAGAGTAGCACTCACCGCATGAGTGCACATAGCGGCCGGGTCTGTTTTGTACACCGACAAGGGGGCGTCTCCTGCCTGCAGTTTATGGCCTGTTTTTGAAGTCGGGAGAGAAGAGATTAGTTGTGGGAGGCGGAGACTTGTTACACAGGTCACAGCAACAGGATTTGTGTCACGACGCGCCCGTATCAGGCGCTCGGCAATTTTTGGGTGCAATAGGGAGTTGTTGGTTCCATCTTAAAACTTTTCATTTAATTTGTTTTGCATCTGGTAAAAAGAAAATACCAATCTGTCTCGAGTAGAAGTCGCGACATTTGCGATTGAAAGAGGTGGGGGTCGCCTGGTGTCAGAGGTAAAATTAGTGAGAAAATAGCCGCCAAAGTTTGGTAACTTCCAAACCTTGAGTGTGATAGGAAACTGCGACATTTTTGTGTGCATTTGATCAATATTTTTCTGCAAAAATCCACACAGAATGTGTATATTAGATGAACGTAGATGGTGTTGAAGAAAAAAAAAAACACATTTGAGGGGAAAAAAAGCCAAACGGCCAGAAAAATGCCGGTTTCTTTGATTTCATAATTTTAACGAGCCTAAGATTTCTCACATTTTTCTTCCTCCCCTTTATCCCCCTCTTCGTCCCCATGCCCCGCCCACATGATGCAGTAGAGCTGGGCGAAGAATCGATTCCGGAACTGCTTCCCGCCTAGTGTTATGAAAGAAACGTCCCGATTCCTTTTTATGTAAACTAAGGGTTATCAATTTCTTAATTTAAAAAAAAAATGTTCTCGAGGGTGGTTGTCGGGTGCTCTGATGTGGTTTGCTCCTTATTTCCTAAAGAAACTCTGTCTTCCTTACCTCTATTCCTTTTTTATTGTTTGTTAATCTTTTGTAACACGTCTAATCTTCGGCACTTATATGGCCTTATTGTGTTGCACGTGCCGTAAAGCTCATACTAAAACTAAAATGAAATGTGTGTTTTTAAAGTTAATTTGTTTTAAATCGTTGCTGTCTCACTGGGTTCCTAAATCGAGGTTCTCCTGAAACCTGAAGCAGTTGGGAGCCGACCAGGTAGCTGGTAACTTTCTGGGTGTAGGACTCATCGGAAGTAATCATGGACTGCTCGGCAGAAGTAATCATGTCTTTGTATGGGCAAAGATCGTACATAACAAGATAGTTCATTGAGCCAATTAAAAAAGTGTCCTCAAATTTCGGTGTCGCCCTCTTATAAAAAGTGCAGACTTTGCGATCAGAGTCACCCGAAAAACAATAATACTGAAACTAGCAAACTGTGCTATTCCTATTTTTCTTATGAGGAAACGAAAGAGGGCTTCAAAACAAAGACTGCAGCGCGATCTGAACCAATACGGGGACTTCCGCGGACACTTTTTTGCCTGAGTGAATTATCTTCTCAACGGACGTACTCACTACTCGCCGGAAGTAATCATGTCATTGTTTCGGGGTCAAACTCAACGGGAGTACTCACTGTTCTCTGGAATAAACATGTAAGTCTAGAGTTCAGAACTATCGGAGCAAACCAGGGACTCCTTGGAAAAAATCACGCCAGTAGAAAGTTATTGGGTTTGGACTCGATTCCCAACGATATCTACCTTCGAAGAATCGGGAATCTGCGGTTACCGAAAAATATAAAGCAAAACCGCCCTCCACGAGTATGCAGAGGTGACCCAGAAAGCAGCTTCTTTTCCCCCCTTAATCCACTCCGTTCTCACATCGCTGCTTGCTCAAGCTTGCGGAAAGAAAAGTGATTTATATCTGTCTGCGGCGCCAAAAGGATTTTATAACGACCTAAGATTGTGTGCGGGCATCTGATCAAATCCCCCTCCCTCCATTCCTCCCCCAACTCTCTCTCTCCCACTATCCCCTCACTGTAATCTCTCTCTCTCTCTCTCTCTCTCTCTCTCTCTCTCTCTCTCTCTCTCTCGCTCTCTCCTTCTGTCGGGAGCTCTTGGCTCTCGCATGTCAAGGGTTTAATATTGAAGTCCTTTATGAAAGTTAATAAAGTCCAAGTCAACATCTTCCTAATGATAAGTTATATACCTTTTACTTTGTCGAGCTTTTGTGCCAAAACCATAAGACCGTTATTCTGAAATAAGTTTTGCTGATTTCAATTTTATTTTAAAATCCGTGGCTTTGTTTGATTTATTTGTTTTGAGCATACAGAAGCACATCGACATCAGTAACGACCATCCAGTGTCGGAGAAAGTAAGAAATACAGACAAAAACAAAGATAAGAAGTAGGACCTACAATTTTGATGGCGACCCCCCCCCCCCCCAACCACGGGTATGTCCTTTGCGTTTTTGGTAAAATTGAGCTGACCTCAGGGAAGCGTTAAATTGGCACTCACTCACTCACTCACTCACATACACACACACACACACACATACACACACACACACACACACACACACACACACACACACACACACACACAAACACACACACACACACACACACACACTTACACACCAAAGCGCTACAAAAAGACCCTGAGAATGTCTCTTCAACATTACAGTCTGACATACGCACTTGGCGAGCAGATGCACGGGTGATAGGGAAGCTTCTTCTTCTATTCTGCTGCTGCTGCTGCTGCTGCTGCTGCTGCTGCTGCTGCTGCTGCTGCTGCTGCTGCTGCTCCTCCTCCTCTTCCTCTATATATTATTATTATTATTATTATTATTATTATTATTATTATTATTAGTAGTAGTAGTAGTAGTAGTAGTAGTAGTAGTAGTAGTAGTAGTAGTAGTAGTAGTAGTAGTAGTAGTAGTAGTAGTATGATTACAATGATTACTATTATTCTTATTATAATAATAATAATAATAATAATAATAATTATTATTATTATTATTATTATTATTTTAGAACTGTCCTTGTTGAGGATTTGGGTGGAAGGATATACAAGGGTGCCTTTACAAATGGAAAAGACGGAAGTAGGACCTACATGAGACTAGGCGAAATAAACAGGTGTCGCGAGTGACAAAGTACAAAGTATTCCGGACCTTACTTGCAAAACAGTTCATCTACAAATCAAAACTTTAAAAAATGTATAGAACTAAATAAAATGTTAAAAGCTTAGAGAATTTTTAATTCATTCTTAGACATGAAGCAGGAAATTTGATCCAACAATATTGTATTAATCAACCTCCACAGAAACCTGGGCAATATCTATACACTGTGTCGCTAGACAGTTTCCACAAATGCGCTTTGTACATGAACAGCCGAAACAGTTACATTGCAGATTCTCCTAATATTTGGAATACAGAATGTATTATTCAGTGCATTGATATGTCTGCACGATGGGTGAAAACTATTATTTACTTTTAGTTTTACTTTTTCCTCCTCTGCTGCCGTTATGCGCCTAGGGGAGATGCAGTTTTCAATGGTAGACCAGCTCCGCAGCTCTTTCAGTTGTTGAATTATGTTGTCTCAGGGTTTCCTTGACATCCTCAATCCACCTTTTGTGTGGCCTTCCTCTTCCTTTATAGCCTTAGTGCTTGGTGTTGTAGGCTCTCGAGGCTGGTTGGCCAGGTGACATACGCAACAGGTGGCCAAAACATTTTATTCTCTGTCTCTCTCTGAAATGCAAGTAGGACT